CTGAGGTGGAGGATTTTCACCCCACACCAGCCTCGGACAGAGGAGGAGGAGCGCTCCGACAGCCTGACAGAAAAAAAAATAAAAGCATACAGCTGCAGCTGCTCACAAGATCACTAGTTTAAATCAGGAATAAAAGTGTTGGGTCTTGTTTGACTGAAGTTTGGTCCGGTTCGCATACATGTCAACCTCTTAGGATGTTTACCTGTCTAAAAAGCCCTAAAGATCCATAAACTTTGCAAAAAATCCATACAACTCGCACCCGCGGGGGGGGGTGTCAGCCGCGGACACATGAAAGCGCCTGCTGCGAAGCAGGAGGAAAGGAGAGAGGAAAAAGTAACTTATTTCTAGCGGCAGAAAATGTTGGAAGATGGCTGTTTGATGTAATTTATTGTTTTTTAAATCATCCTATAGGCTCTGACATGTTAGATAAATTTGAAAATTAGGTTTTTAAAATATCCGTAAGACTTTAAAGAATCCGAGAGATTGCTCTATATGTCCGTATACCTGCAAAATGACGTGTCTTAGAGAGAGGCTTTTATACCAGAACACAGCCGCTGTGATGAAACCGTGGAGATGACACGTCACCGTGGAGAGCYGTTAATCAATATGCAAATTAGCCTGCCGTACCACTGCTCTACCCATATGAGCAGCAAAAACACGTTTTTAGACCAAATGTAACAGATTTGAATAAATACGCACAAAAACATCAAAATTACCTTAGAAACAGTACTATATAACATTTTAGACACATTCTAGACAGTTTATCAGCTAAAAAAAGTTAATTTTGGGGTAAGTTACTCTTTAAGAAGAATATTTTTATTCGTGCTGGTCAAATATACCACAGGAAAACACGTGTATTTGCATGAGTTGCTCTCTCATTCCTAAGAAAGACAAGATGCAACTCCAGTTCACGCATTTATTATCTGTTCTCTACCCCCCCTCCATATTCATTGTGCTTTTCTGCTCTTTAATGTTTTATGACTTTTTAAGTTGTTTTCTGCAAAGCCTTGTACTTATTACTCATACGGTTTTAGCATTCTCAACCTTCGTACTCATGAAATCAATTAATTCTTTTAAATAATTTACCTTCTGAGCAAACCAAATAAGGCAAGGGCATTCTTGTGAGTCAGATGTGCGGTTCTAACTGGTGTGTGTGTGTGTTCAGACATTAACGTGGCTTTCACCCCACGGCTCGGAGGAGTCTTGGGTGATTAGAAAAAGAGGGGAGCCTTGATAAAGCATTAGTGTGGGATGCACACACAACTGGAAGACCCCTCTTTGCATCCGCACACATTCATTTTTCATGAAACACTCATAACAATTAGTCTGGTTACCGCCTTGGTGATCTTAGTGTCCCTGTAATGTCTGTGCTCTTCTATATGACATCACTCCCTTTTTAAAAGTTCTAAATCTGACATTTTCATCCTTTTTCATGGTGAGGACATTAGCAAGCCTTGGCTAAAAGCCGCTCGCTTGTTCTTGGCGAAAGAAGAGCAATAAAATGAGGAAGATGAAGAGCAAAAAAAAAAAAACCTGAAGTGCTCAGATTTTTTTTCCAACCTTAGCTTTTATATAAATTAATTTATATGAACGAAAGAAGAAATGTAAAGTTGCCATCTAACATGCTTATTTCTCTTTTCAAGCATCACATAAAACCAAGTGAGCATTTATGCATTATTTCGGCAATACATTATGCTAACAACCATTGCTAAGTGCTCAGTAATTTGCGCGGTACAATACGTAAGGAGCTAAATCGAGATTCTGAGCACACAGTTTCCAGCTGTATGGCATGATAGCCCCATGAGTGGCTTTGTAGCATTTCTGCAGCAGAAAAAAAAAAGCAAAATACAGTTCCCCAGAGACTATCCATCTTTCCTGCATCCCCCAGTCTTTAGTGCCTGACTCTAAACACCCCCCTCTCCCCAGACACCAAAGCCAAGGTCAAGAAGAAAGTGCAGTCTTCGTCTGTCTATAGACTATTCCCTGGATGCCCGCACCTCAGTTTGGTCAAGGTGTGTGTGCTTCAGGAATGTTCCCTCCTCCTTTTGTTGTGACCATCAGTCTCAAGGTCAGCTCCCAGGGAGAGGTTTGAGCTTATCGGTTTTCCGCCTCCCCAATTTTTTCACCTGTTATCTTGTCAGTCTTTTCTTATTTTTATTTATTTTTTTATTATTTAATTTTTTTGCCTCACTGTATCACCAAACGATAACTCGGAGCTCCCAGCTGGCAGTTTCATGACGTGCTGTCTGACGTGTGTGCCCCTTTGTCCGTCTGTCTCTTCAGGGTAGCTGTCATAACAGCCCATTGTCTAGCTTTCAGTGAACCCATTTCTACTCTGAAGCTTTAGACTGATGCTTTGCATGCTTTTATACCACAATCCTCACACTGACCATGGCCTGTTTGCCTTGAAGCAATGTTACAGTGAGTTCCATGTTAAACTCACTGTTGTTGTTGTTTTCTGCGAGCTGTGGCAGTCAGCCTTGAGTCACTGTGCTATCTTTGAATAAGATGCACATACTAATGCGTCTTAAAAATTAATAAAAATTTGTATCTGAGTCAAAGTACCTTTTAAGATTTCTAGGAATGTGTTTTTGTTTTAATGACTTTTATAGAACACAAAGCCCTTTTGTTTTTAGATGTTTATTTTGTTTTTTTATGTTAACACCATTAATATTAATAAGTATTGTCTGATTTTAATTTTAGCCACATTGTGCTATCCGCCACACCGTTCTTACCTATTCAGTTGCAAAGTAAGGACTAGGAATGCAAGTTATCGATTGCTAAATTATTCTAAAGTCGATTGACGTTATTGATCGACTAACTATTAATTGATAAGCGGCCGTTTTCTTAAAAATCTTAATTTTCTCTTCTATCAAGAGAGTTTTTCCATAACATGAAGGTCTAATTTTTTATAATACGCAAAACATGGTGTGTATATTAGCCCACAGCTGCTCTGGTTTCTAGAGTTTGGGATCAACATAGACCAAGAAAGCGCATATTGGTTGGCCTTTAAATATGATTATGGTTGTTGGCCTCCAATTCTGCCATTGGTGTGTGTGCGTGTGTGTATGTGTGTGACACATTTGTGGGTTTGGCTTTGGTGACATTTGGGGGCAATTTTAAGACAAAAATCCTACCTTTGGGGACAACTGGTGCATTTGGGGACAAAATTCGAGTCCCTGTTTGGTTTAAATGCCATTGGTGGGTTGAGGGGTTGGGTTTAGGACCAAGGTGTGAATTGAGTTTAGGTTAGTTTTAGGGTCAGGTAGGTACCTGTGAGGTTAGCCTYRGGGTTTGTGGTCAGGGTTAGGCTGTAGAAATGTAATGGAAGTCAATGGAATGTCCCCAATTAGATAGCTGTGCAAACTTGTGTGTCTCAGCTGGCCTAAAGTGTTGTAAAGTCAGTTTATGTGAATAAGAATAAAAACCTTTGTTTTCTTTCCTGTGTCTCTGTACAGTTTGTGTGTGCAAAATTTATGCCCTGTAGCACACACACACACACACACATGGACTGTCATTGCTGTGTAAATGCTTGCATTGACCGTGACTTTCGAGTATTACATAAGGAACATGGATTTCCAGCTGTCCGCAGTAAAAGCCATGTAAATTCAAATGCCTAATTTTTATAGGCAGCCCGACATTGACTGAAGTGCTTGCTTGTTATATATTTGGCAAGTGCTGCAAGTCTGAAGGGAAGCTGTCAATAACAATCCCAGCTATTGATATGGCAGTGGGCAGGAGATGTTACTTGGCCCTCGACTGCAGCCTCCCTCTGATCCCGCTACATCATAATTACATTAATATTGACAGACCCTTGACAATAGTCACATTACTATTGATAGGTCGATGTCAATACTCTGTTTCCCCAAATAAAACATATTCATTCATAACTTGTAAACTGCTCGATAAAAGGCTTTGAAAAGACTATCGGACCCGGTCGGGTTTACTCTCCCGAGAGAGCTGCTGCTGTGACGAGGATTTCCACCACCTGGCAGTGTGTGTGTGTTGGTGTGTGTGTGTGTGTGTGTGTGTGTGTGTGTGTGTGTGCGCACAGACGCACAGCCATGGACAGATTGACTTAGGGTGGCGTTAAAGCTCTGCATAGATCACGGCTATCCTTGTGCACGTAGTCAGACACACATGCACCTAATCTCCACATTTTCTCCCATCAAAGAAAAACTTTCAGATTAAGCTGAACAAACAGAGCCTGTTTATTGGTTTGCATACACACCGCAAGTACCTCTCTTATTTACTTTTTAATCCACACTCCCCTCTCATCACAGATGAGGTTCCAGTCACCCAACATGGCAGCATTTCAAATGCAGCTCAATAAATTTGTCATACCTGCTTACTTCAGCTTAAATTCACTTTTTTTCATTCATTTGCTAATTCCAACTTAGTTGGTTGGTGCATCCTTGCTCTTTTTAAGTGTTTTGAATACACAGATGGTCCTGTGCACCACAATAAAAACCAAGCATCGCCTCTGAATGCGAGGCTTTTTTTAACCTCCTTGAGAAACATCTAAAGTGACCATCATCGCTCTCTCTTTCTGTCACAACTGCCATATTTACCCGGCGGAAATCTCTTTTAAAGCCTCGTGACAAATCCTGTTCATCGGGACACAAAAGCTACTGTCAAAAAAAGGCCTCTGTGTGTCTCTCTCCCTCTTTCTATCGGTGGCCTTTTTCGTCCGTCTCTCCCTGCGTTTGTTAGTCTTCCTCTTCTTAAGCATTTCAATTGGGGGTAAGGGCAGATAAAACTAGAGAACTGTGAGCCGTTTGGAAACGTATGCAGCACAAAATGGCCCCGATGACACAATGGCAAGATCCCATATGGAGTTGAATCTATGAGGGGTGGGAAGGGGGTAAAAATTGTTCCACATTTGGCAGATGTTTATGGTGTACCAGAGACTGTGCCGTTAGCCTAATCCCCAGTGATGTGATTTGTACACACACCCCTATCTCCAGAGGGAGCAGGCACCAAGGGCCCCYTTGGCTTCACCTCCTGTGTGAGGGTGTGTGTGTGTGTAGTGTGTGTGGGATTGTGTGTTTATACACTGGAAAAGGCATTCTAAGACCCCCTGCTCTTCCGTATGCCGTAGCTCAAAGCTTGCATTAAGGACGGGTTTTACATGTGAAAAGTGATTTCCGTTTCTATGTAAAGGAAAATAACCTTTCTAACAGGATGGGCTTCCCCTTCAAGGCCTCATTCCTCCCAGTGACAGAGTTGTCCTTTCATAGAAGTGCTTCTGTATATATTTTTTGTTCATGACTGAAGTAGATCAAATGTCAAGTCGACTGTAGAAAATACTTTGTATTCAGTAATAATGAATCACGAGAAACAAATGTGTTTAAGCGAAATTCAGTCCTTTTGTTTTCACCTGACTTTCCGTATTTGTCATTCATCATGTGTGATTTTTTTATAGTTTATTAATTTCGATTAAAAACAAAAATTTCAGTACAACAAAAAAAGAAACAAATCTCAAAGTGAAAGGAAGCAGAAGAAGACAAGAATCTTATAACA